AAGAAATTTTGGGGGGGGGGGGGGAATTTATGAAAAAAAAATAAAACGGAATTTTGGAAAAAATAAAACAGAATTTGGGAAAAAATAAAATGGAATTTGGGAAAAAAATAAAACGGAATTTAGGGAAAAAAATAAAATGGAATTTGGGAAAAAATAAAACGGATTTCATAGAGCCCTATTCACCTGATGTTTCTCCTGCAGGTTTCCGCATGGCATCGCTCATCTGGCGCAGTACATTCATGACCGCGGCCTGAAGCTGGGCATCTACGGAGACATGGGCACTCACACCTGCGGCGGATATCCAGGAACCACGCTGGACAAGATCGAGACGGACGCGCAGACCTTCGCCGACTGGGGCATCGACATGCTGAAGCTGGACGGCTGCTACTCAAACTCATCCTACCAGGAACAGGGTGAGACGCTTTAACATCACAGTTCAGTTCAGTCACAGAGACAGGGTTAAAATCACATTTACACAAACAAAAAATAATACTGTATATCCATACAGAACAAATCATGTGTCTCAGACTCTTTAACAGTTTGTGGCACATGCTCAAACACTCAAATCATGTTTTATTAAATATATACATTTGTACTGAAATTGGTTTATGTACTAATATTTCACTATTTTTCCTATTCTCTGAAAAATTAAGTAAATGACAACTCAAAAACAATATTTATGGAATATTAAAAATGGAATATTTTTAAACATTTGTAATATTTTTTTAAAATATTTTATTCTACATTACTTGTATTTAAATTTTGTATTTTATTCTATATTATGTTTTAATTGTTCCTATTTTCCGTACAATGAAAGTAAATAACGACTCCAAAAACAATATTAAAGGAACAGTACTTACTTTTTAAATACTTGTAAATATTTTATTCTATGTTATTTGTATTGTATGTTTTCATTTTATACTTAATTCTATATTTTTTCCATATTTTCTGTACAATGAATGTAAAATATATTTTATATTATATTCTATATTATATGTATTTTATATATTTTAATTTTATTCTATATTATATTTTATTTCAGTTTTATTTGAATGTTTTATGTTGTATTCTATATTATTTTTTACATTCTTAGTTTATTATATTTATTTGATATTTTTACTGAGCTCAAAATAAGTTTATGATAATAATGCGTTTAAAAAAAGCAATAAACAGATTATTGTGCCATTAATAGTCAAATCTATATATTGAATGTGTTGAATAACATTATGCCTTTTCTTGCTGAGAGAGTTGACGTTAAATTAAATGCCAGATACAGGATATTAACAAAATAGCAATTATACCCAGAAAAAAGATGCATGATACAGGACTTTTAATTAATTATAAAGAAGCCCAAAATACGGCTGGACTCTTATTTTGAAACACTTATGCTTTAGTACTTCCAGCTGCTCATTCAAACAGATCAAATATGCATCTTACAACCATCTACAATAATTACAAAATAAAAATGATAGAATAAACACAAATATGTCTTCATTCATATTCAGCAGTAGATCATAAGCAATCTGTTAGGTCATATCACGATGAAGACTTTTATTCATTATCTTCTGTCATTAATTAAATCCAGGCTACCCAATGATGTCAAAGGCCCTGAACGCTACGGGCCGTCCCATTGGCTACTCCTGCAGTTGGCCCGCCTATCAGGGTGGCCTCCCGCCGAAAGTGAGTAGAAAGCAGGAAGTGGAAGTGATGTAGAGCTGCATGATTCTGGATAAATTGAGAATCGTGATTTTTTTTGTCTCAAATAGAGATCACGATTCTGAACTAAACAAAATAATGTGTGCCAAAATATTATTTCTGCAGTCTATTTAAAAGCGTTTAATCAATTTGAATGAATTATTAAACATGTAAAATATATTTAATACACCAATTTTTAATATTAAAATGTTGAAAAAGTAGTTTGAATGAATGATTCAATGACTCGCTCATAAATACTTCACTTGTTTCATTACTAGATGAATCAGCGTTTTTTAACAATATAATGAATGATTCAATGACAAAAAGACATTTTTTAACAGTCACTTGTCGCCACCTAGTGGCGAAACAATGCAATCAGCACAAACGTTATTTGAAGCGCCAATTACTTTCAAAAGATGCTACCATAGACATCAGTGTTTCTATCCAAACTATAAACTTTCATTCCAGTATTTCTGCGATAATATGAATGACTGTAAAGCCCCGTTCACACCAAGAACGATAAATATAAAGATAACGATATTAGCGTCCACACCAGCGAACGATATCGTCTGTTTATTCCAAGCGCACGCTCGTCTGCCGCTTTAAATCCTCGAGCTCGTTATAGCAGGATTGATTCTGATTGGTTGTCAATGTTTTTATCGTTCATTAGCTGGAAAAAAATCGTTCTGAAAGTGATTCGTTTCTCTGTGCCTTTATCGTTATAGCTGTGGTGTGGACTCTGGGCTATTCTTTAATATTCAGAACGTTTTTTAGAACTGTATCTTTATCGTTATCTTTAAAGTTATTGTCCTTGATGTTAACGGGCCTTAAGACAGTAATAATACTTTATAGCTGTTTTTTTTACCTAAACATGGTAAGACTCTTTCAAAGATTTAATAGACACAGACGAATAGTTGTCATTTAGGAATGAGATTGTGTGGGTATTTGAATCGAGATCGCGATCTTTTTAACGATTAATCGTGCAGCTCTAAAGTGATGTAATGTAACGTAATGTAGCAACATGCTAGTAACTTGTTAATCATGCTAACAACATGCTAGTAACATACTAATCATGCTAGCAACATGCTAACTTCATGCTAATCATGCTAGCAACATGTTAATTATGCTAGAAGCATCCTAGCAACATGCTAACAACAAGCTAACTACAGTACATGCTAATCATGTTAACAACATGTTAATCATGCTAGAAAAATGCTAACTTCATGCTAATCATGCTAGCAACATGTTAATTATGCTAGAAGCATCCTAGCAACATGCTAACAACAAGCTAACTACAGGACATGCTAATCATGCTAGAAACATGATTAGCAACATGTGAACTGCATACTAATCGTGTTAATAATATGCTAATCATGCTAGAAACATGCTAACTTCATGCTAATAATGCTAGCAACATGTTAATTGTGCTAGAAGCATCCTAGCAACATGCTAACAACAAGCTAACTACAGTACATGCTAATCATGATTAGCAACATGTGAACTGCATGATAATCGTGTTAGCAACATGTTAATCATGCTAGAAAAATGTTAAATTCATGTTGATAATGCTAACAAAATGCGAACCATGCTATCAAAATGCTAGCAACACGCTAACTACATGTTAATAATGCTAGTATCATGCTAGAAACATGATTAACAACATGCTAATCATCTAACCTACCTAACTTTTCAAACTTCAAGCTTTTACAGCTGCTCTAAACTTTCAGGTTAGGCTTTATCAAGCAACCTAAAGTTTGTCTTGACGAACTTTTTGTCTAGTTGTCCATTAGCGCTGAGTTTGTTGTGTCTCAGGTGAACTACACGCTGCTGGGTCAGATCTGTAACCTGTGGAGGAACTACGATGATATCCAGGACTCATGGGACAGTGTGCTGAGCATCGTCGACTGGTTCTTTGATAATCAGGACGTTCTGCAGCCCGCAGCCGGACCTGGCCAGTGGAACGACCCCGACATGGTGAGCGTATTCAGGGAAATACAGAGTTCTGGCATGAAACTCTAGATGGCGCAGTCCGATAGGTCTAACTCAATCTGGCCTAATGACATCATCATCACATGGCACAGCTGATTGGTTCGCTCCTGTATCGGTAGCCAATGAGCTCGCTGCTCAACATTCAAATATATGACTAGTGCTTGCCGTAGCAGTCGCAGCTTGCTTCAGAAACCCTCCACCTTCCCCAGCTCCACCTGTATAGGTCTGCTACGAGGTGATTCATGTATGTTATATGTGCAGCAGCAGTATTTCTTACATGCTCACAGCAGCATGTTGTGGATGTATTGCAGCAGCAGCAGCAGCGTAGCAGATCTTTTCCGCCAAGACCAAATACATTAACATTGTCATGTACATTACCATGCCAATCCCTCCCAGAGTTGTCATGACAGAAATATATGTACGTCTCGTCCTCAGCTGATCATTGGAGACTTCGGCCTCAGCATGGACCAATCACGTGCTCAGATGGCTCTGTGGGCGATCATGGCCGCGCCCCTCTTCATGTCTAACGATCTGCGTACGATCAGCAGCGGCGCTCGTGCGATCCTGCAGAATAAGATCGCCATCGGCATCAGTCAGGACCGCTTGGGCATCCAGGGCAGACGCCTGATCAAGGTGAGACATCTTTCAGTCTTTTAAAGGAACAAATATGATCGTCCCCATCCTGAAATTCTAAAAAACCCAATTTATATGGTGAAAATGTTTATCATAAACATGTTATCTGGAAAATATGGGTTAGGGTATTGCATTTGTTTGGAGTTACTATATTACTTATAGTATTTTTAGGATTAGGTACTGGATTATTTATTGATTTAAATATTTTAGTCAATTTTTTATCAGTTTATTCAAATTTACATATTTTGTTAAATATTTTATTTTGTTAATTAAGTTAATGCGTTAAACTGACAGCCCTAATTATTTCACATTATTACATTTGTTTCTATTCACTATAGTAGCTATTAGGGTTATATACTGTATTAAGTCATTTTAATTATTTTACATTTATTTTTATTCATTTAATCTGATTGATTTATTTCAGTATTTGTATGAATTTATTTTTGCAGCATTATGTTTTCATGGATAAAGCGCCAATTTATATTGTGAAAAAGTCGTATTATAAATATTATTTGGAGAATATCATGGGGTTATTTTACACGATTACATTTAATTCTACTTGTTATATTACTGTATCGTTAGAATTAGTCACTGTATTATTTATTTTAAATATTATTTTAGTCAATTTTTTGCATGTTTCATTTAATCTCATCTTCATTTTATTTTCACAGCTACATGTTTTCATGTTTAAAGACTCAATTTATACTGTGAAAAAAGTTAATATTATTATAAATATTATTTGGAAAATACTAATTTCTATTATGTTACAGTATTACATTTGTTTCTGCTCCGTGTAATATTGTACCGTTTTTTCATTATTTTAATCACTTTCTATTAATTTTAATATAGTTTGATCTTATTTTCATTCATTTCTTTTCACAGACATATGTTTTCAAGCATAAAGACTCAATATTTACTGTTTTTTATAATAATATTTATATTTATATAATATTTAGTTTGTATTATTTCATGTTATTACATTTGTTTCTATTCACTATAGTAGCCGTTAGGATTAGATACTGTATTATTGAGTAATTTTAATTTAGATTTTTTTTTTTATTCATTTAATCGAATTGGATTTAGTTTGGTATTTTTATTAGTTAATTTATTTTCATATGTATTTTTATATGTTTTCATGAATAAATTGCCAATTTATATATTGTAAAAAAGTAATTTTATTATAAATATGTGCGAAATATTATATATTATGTTACACTATTACATTTATTTCTACATTTTTTGTTATTATTTATGACTTTAATATTTATAATTGGCTAATTATAGGTTACTGATTAATTCAGTGTCATCTGTATATTTTGTTGCACTGGTTCTCACTGTGTTTCTGTCAGGAGAAGAGCCAGATCGAGGTGTTCTGGCGGCCCCTGGCTAAAGGATCCAGCGCTCTGGTGTTCTTCAG